TGTATGTATATGTATTGGTGAAATTGAAAAAAAGAAAAGAATTGCGTGTTGTATTGAACGTGTATAGCCAGTTGTGTCGATGTTGTGATTGATCAAAAAATTAATGCTATGAAAAAAAAACTTGAAATTACATGTTGTTTGTTTAAACAAAAATATTTTTTTCTTCTAGTTTCCGCCGTATTTTGTCTCAAATATACTAAATAAAAATGAAATGACAAAACATCATATTTCAGTAGAGGTGAATGCCTTTATTCGCAAGTAAGATTATGTACGTTTTTGAACGTGTGTAGTTTTTTCTTTGTTTATTTTATGTAAATTATAAGGGGAGAATGCATTCACTCGTTCTTGTTTATTTTATATTTGTCAACATTCCCTTTTTGATATCGTAAAAAAAGTCACGATTCAAATGAATTAAAAGAATATCTTCAAGTATATTTTCTCCTAAGCTACACCGACGATTACTTAAAATAAATTCCAAATGTGAAAAATCTCTTTCGATCATGACTTCAGTGGGTGGAATAGCGAATATTGTTATTGCCAATTGATATAGCTGTTCGTTGCTGGTCCGTTGTGATTCCCAATAGTCGAGTATGCTTGCATCCGATGCCATTTTCGGTGGATTAAATGAGTCAATTGCATTTTCAATATCTTGATTCATGTTCACCACATTTGCTACAGTTTCGTTTTGCGCCAAATAAGTGTTTAATGAGAGATTTTGTGAAGTGTCATTCCTAGACAAATAAATATCCAATGGACAGGCATTATTAAAATCAATGCTCACGTTTAAGTCGGAGCCAACTGAACAATTATTTTTTGTTGATGTTTCATTTTGTGTTTTGTTCATTGTTTCACTGACGCTTGGAGTTGAACGAATAATATTAATTCGATTCCATAAATTTGATAGCGTTCGTTTGGCTTGTGTCACCTGTTGGTCATCATTTATTATCTCACTTCGAAATCGCGGATCCAAATACAATGCGCTCATCATTGCGGGATTATTGAAGATTACAGCTTTTCTCATTTTATATTGGTCCAGAAGGTGCTTTGCTAAACTTGTTTTGAATTTTTTCGTGGCCAAAATTTCGAGATGAATTTGCAGTTTCAGCCAAATTCCATACGAGTCCGATAGTGAAATGCTATGACTTTGAAGAGCAACAGTTGCCTTATATGGCACTTGCAGAATAATAATGATTTCTTTTAAAATCGCCCATTTCTGAAGCAGCAGTTTACAGATCTCTATATTGTTTTGTCTTGCGAGAATATCGATTATTTTTCTGCATTCATACACGTCGCGCATCTAAGGAGAATCACAAATTCACTAATTCAATAACGAATCGTAAGTATTACATTAAAAAATATAGCTTGAAATTCGTTTTTCATAAAATAATCAAATGCATACCATAATGTATTTTGAACACCACCGTGTCTCAACATCAATCCGTGGCTTTTTATAAGCGTATTCTTTCTGGTGCATCTCGTATATTGTTGTACTCTTTCGAAGAAATAAAGCAACGCGATGAGTCAAATCAATCACATTTCTATGCGAGAGTTTCATTATTTTTATTCCATCATTTGTCATCAATTGCAAAGTATGGGCGCCGCAATTAACACCAGTAATATCCCACATAACATCCATGCTATGGTTTGATGTTAGGCTTGATGAAATCGCCGATAAAAGTGTTTGTTTACTATTTAGTGTCGCATCACTTGGCTCATCTGTTTCATTGAATAATATTTTCAGTAGTTCGTCGTCGGTTGCGTCCTCTGCTTCGGCTAGAGCCGCTTCAATTTGTATGTCAATTATGGCTTCACTGTTTCCAAAGCAATCATTTTGTAAATTTGATGTTACTGGTGTTTGAACTAGCTGTTCTTTCCCGCTCTTTGCGTCATCGATGGCACATTGAAGATGAGTTTCAATATCTCGTATCATTTTCAGCACATTACTACCATTGTCTGTAGTAATTGTGATAATTTGAGGGAGATCAATGTCGAAATCGTTCAATCGTTTTGTAGTCAATTCAGCAAGATAGGCACCAGTGTGTCTGTCCTTTAGTTCTATCATGCCAATGGATCGAATAGTTACCTTCCCACCAACGATGTACTGTAGGCTTACACCAAAAATTGAGCGACCTCGTTTAGTAACAATGTCACACAATAGTGAAATAGCACGATTGTTTGTTTCAGTTTTAATTTTCTGGCGAACTTTATCAGCAACATTTTGCAAAAAATCTTTGACTTCTCTTAAATGTGGATCTTTCAAATTTATTCCTTTACCAGCACTTTCTAACTCTTTCAATTTATCTTCAAGTAAGGCCAACATAGCCGAATCGTTTATACATTTAAATGGTCTTCCATTTACAGTGACAAGCTCAACGAGATTTAACAAAAGTTCAAGGCGGATATAGTCAACGGCATTTTCTTCGCGGCATACTACTTCATGAATTTCATTGTGCGTTTTTAGATGCTGTAATAAATTCCACTTTTTATTCCCGTTTAAATTACTTTCACAAATTTTGCACTTATAAATTTGATTTCCATTTTCATTTATATCACCAAGAAATTCAAAATATTTCATCGACTTTTTTGTTAGATCAGTTTTCGGCTTTCTCATTGGAGTAGTCATTTTGAGTGAATCTCTTGCAAATCTGTTACAAATCAAATGAGAGCACAAAACCAAGTGTTCAGACGTTTTGGCGCCACAAAATGAGAAGTAATCTTCGCACGCACACAGATACACAAATTATAAAAAGAGTAGAACAACACATTGTTTTAAGGTGTCAAGCTAAACTCATTATACAAGTATAGATGACGTGTATGCCCAACACATTCATAATGAATTTAACTTATCGTCTTGATGCAACAGTTTGTTCGATCATCAGTGTACTACGATTTGCCAATACAATCGCTTAGCATTTCATATCTAACAGATATTTTGAAACGAAATTAAAGTCATTTTTCTGCAAAAAAAATTGTCGGTTTTTTTAAAAGTGCTACATTATGTTTGTTACTGTATTTTTGGTTGAACCACGAGTTCATATTGTGGTGCCCAAAAAGTTTATCTATCAGTTAGTTCAAGTTAATTTGGACAACGTTGGAATCAATTGCAATCAGAATCGACGAATTTATTTCTCCGGTGAATTGTTTGAAGCATTAAAAAATGGTGTGGTTCTACAAGAAGAAGATTTTTTACCCAATTTCGATGTACCCATCACAAAAATTTATCCGTTGCCAAATGATGTATTGGAAGCTTGCTACATTGCAAGACTCAAAAAATTCTGGGGTAATTTTATTTTGAAGAAAGTTTCCTCAACAATCGAATTTTTTTAATCGAAATAATGTGATCTGCTTTGCAGTCAGTTTTGACGATGCATGGGAGCACGCTGAACGGCTTCGCCGTCAACTACCACCATTATACAATCCAGTTCGTTTACATGAACAACCGATACCACCCGTAATTGTGGCCCAAGATGGATATGAATATGATGTGGCAAATACAAGTGGTGATGAACTGCCCGAAGAAAATCTTGTGGAAAACGATTCATCGGACGAAGAAAACCGTGACGAAATTGCACCAAACAATTTAATCGATGAAATGAAAAACGAACCATTCGAAGTGGTTGTGATGAATCAAGACGATATGAATGCCGTCGACAACTTGTTTGAAACACCAATTGAACCGCCAATCGATTTGCCAATCGATCCATTGTTACATGCCTCAATTAACAACAGCGATGCAGATTCACACAGCGAAGATGATGAGATTGAAATAACGTTCAAGTCTTTAAACGATTTTCGGCCAAAAACTATTTTGGATGGCTACGAACTCAAATTGAATGATGTTTTGTGCAACAACATTCCCTTCAAGATTAATGTGAGTGTGATTTGATTTAAAAACTTCGTACATTTTTTCAAGAAATTGTCATTTGACTGTTTTTTTTATTATTAGCCAGAGTCCGGTGATCGTTCATTTAAAGTGGATTACGGGCGTGAATTCAAAGATGTTTTGCTTTCGGTTCGTCTTGTTAACGGTCTGACAAAATTGAATGTTGAAAAACGAAATGACATCGATGCGGATAAAGTTTTTCTCAAGGCGTTATTGATTGGTTCATTTACGGTCAAGAGAATCAAAGAATCGTCACCACTTGAAGTACATTTACTTGGATTCATGAAAGGTATTTGGACTTTAAAATTCATTTTAAACAATGATACAATATATTCCATACTCTATTTACAGATTTATTTGAACATCGTGTTTCTGAAGAAGATTTGGATGGTGAACGTTTGACATCGTTTCAACGGCTTGTTGATATGTCTTGTGATGAATTACGTGAAAACCGCATTTAAAATGATGACCTACACAATTTATCACCAATTTTTATTCAAATGAATGTGCAATGCCACTCATTCTGTTCTTAAGATCATCGTTTCATCCATTTCTTTCACCACATTTTATCACTTTTGTCTTTTTATCATTAAAAGTATTTTTGATACAATGATTTAATCAAATAAATAAATGTAAAAATTGCATTTGTTTTTGCTTTTTAAATTGAAACGGGATTTATGATAAAGTGGAGCAAATTATTGAAAATATATTCATTTAAAAGGTAAGAGCGGCTGAATTGTATTCTTCATTATCTTTTGTTATTGATAGTTCGCCGAAATTTTTATGTAATACAATACGGCATTCTCTCATAATTGACGGTTGAGCATCATTTGAATGTGACTGTGGTAAAAGTCACTTCATACACGCTATACACACGTTCAATACAAAACGCAATTCTTTTCTTTTTTT